GGTGTACCTTTTTTTACTTGGAAAAGGTGTGGGAATTAGGTTTTTTCATGAAAAGTACCAAAAGTTTACTGTCAAAAAAGTTAATGCAATTTGAAATAAATAATGACAGCGTACGCAGCGCCCTCTAGATGTTACATGAAAATTAATACGAAATTATGATTTCCCCCGGGTACCAAATTTCATGTAAATAACTTATTTTTTGCAAGAATTATTTTCAAAAAACGAACAAAAAAATTCAATTTCAACACCCCCGTATCTCCGAAACGAAGCATTTTCGGACACAAGTTCATATAGACTTTTTTCCTTAAAAATTGTTCTAGGAATACGTCACTTGAATATATTAATGTACTTATGTTACACCCTGTATAAAACTTTGATACTTTGTTAGCTGAATATTACTGGAAATTTTTTTCAACACCAAATCGTTATTTTTAACACTTCGACACGTGTTCCGATCACCAAGTGATCATCTTCAAGATTATCACTTGGTGATCAAAACACGATTTGGTGTTGGAAAAACACTCCAGTAATATTCATTACTACACCAAAGGTTCCAAACAGTGCATCATAAGTAGTTTGTTAGCATCAACAGATATTTGAAAAAAAAGTTTCACCCTTTTCTTTACTTGAAATTCAATTGAACTCAAAAAAATTGGTTATGTAGAAACGGTTCATCAAAATACGAATTGCAGCACCCAACAAAATAACTGTCTATTTCAGTTGGTGCATGACAGTTGATATAAATTTTTTGATAATACCGTTAGGTTGGATAAAACGGTTTGGAATCTCTTCAAACTCTGTATTTAAAAGATGTACAGGTTACAACTGAAAATGTTCACTAATTTGCCAGATAACAACAACAATCTCGCTGTAATGAAGTTCTAAAACAATATTTGAAATATATTTGAAAAAAAAATTAGAATATCTGTTTGGTTGTTTCAAAACTTTTGTCCGTTTTTATGAATCTACTCTAAACTGTAATGTCTCAGCAAATACTTATTCAATTCAATTGAAATGAGCGTCATTTGAATCGGTGTTATTGGTTGTTATTGTTTTCGGACCAAAAGGCCCTAGAAATGATATTTGCAAATCTGTGAAAGTAGTAGTAAATGATTATGTACTTGGGGTTGTCCCAGAAGCCAAAAGCCTGAGCAACATTTTAGATAAGGACTTGAAATTCAAAAGTCGGGTTAATCAGTTTATTAGGCGTGCATATTATTCGCTTAAAATTATATATGGACAACGAAATTTCCTACCCATGAAGGTGAAGGTGAATTTGTGTGAATCGTTAGTTTTATTCATATTCAATTATGCTGATGTTTGGTATGGTCTATGTTTAACCAACCAGTTCAAGAAAAAGATACAAAATGTTCAGATTTCCTGCTTACGGTTAATATTTGGTACTAGAAGAGAAAGAATATCGCATAAACTGAAGCATGCTGGCTGGTTAATATCAAAGATAGGAGAATGTCACATGCTGCAACTTTTTTTCACAAAATAATAGTAAAGTGCCGTCTTACTTACACCAGAATATTACTTTTAGAACTGATGTGCATAATATTAATGTGAGGTATAAAGGCCGACTAACTCCGCCATCCTTTCGCACAGAGTTCTTTAGAAGGAGTTTCAGCTACCAGATCTGTGCAGTTTATAATGACATTCCCGAGCCCATGAATGAGATGACTTCAATCATTTCAGTACCAATTTCAAACGATTCTTATTATTTTCAAACTATTAACGACCCAATAGCTACCTACCTATTACAAATCTATAAATAGTCGTAATATTTTAAGATAATCAAAATCTTTTTTATTTATTCCTTTGCGTACTGCAACATTTTTTATGTTAAGTGGAAGATCAATTGAATGATGACTTGTCATCAAGTAAATTGAACTTCGCCTTTTAGCTTCATATAATAAATAAACTGTACCTGATTAATTTGCTTTAAATGTATTAGAAGATAATAAAGCCGATATTATCATTATTATTATACAACGTTAGTATGGTAAATATTTATTGAGATATGGAGCTTCATAAACACGTGACATTAAAACGGACAAAACTTCTGAAACAACCTAATATTAGGTTCAGGCTCTTATATGACTTATGCACTCAAAATATGCATGTCACTTATAAATTAAAAAATAGTATCAGGTATTCTCATAGTAGTTTAGTGTTGGCTATCATTGTTGCTTTATCCTTAACATCTTAGTCATACATAGAAGAGGCCATCCACCAATTTTGTATGATACATACAAAATAGCTTTTAGCTGTTGTAATTATAATCTCAATTTCATCATTCATTCTTTAAAATCTACTCTTAAACATTTCCTCTTTGTCTGGTTTATCAAAAAAACTATAATTTGATAAAAATCTAATTTTACGATTGATAGGTTTCATTTTATGTGAATTGAGAATATGGAAAATTAATTTTTCTAGCATCTCTTTTTTTATTTATGCACTAGTGATGAACCCCAAAAAAACAATTTCTGAAGCAATTCCAACATTCGGAACTTGTTTTTTATGATTTTAATGTTTGAAACTTGTTTTCCGTAAAACTGTCCTGTGTTGAATGGTAAGTTTTGTGGAAATGATGTTTTTAAAGCTTTTAAAACTACATTCTGTGCTCATTAAACCATATAAACTTATTTGGCATTTTTATATGATAGTATGTGAAAGTATGATCTCGATTTTGTTTCAGGAAATGCGGAAAAATATTTTGTGCTGACTGTTCAGAAAACAGTACGCCCCTTCCATCCGAACACCTTTTTAATCCAGTGCGAGTTTGCACAAATTGTTTTTCTGAACTACAGAGGGACTGCGGAGGGATTCCTAACCAATGCAAGCATACTAACAACCAGACTACAAATGCAAACACCCAAATTGCAGCTTCAAGTAACTGAGTATTTATCTGAATTGTTTTTTTTTACACCAGGTATATCTGCTACTATTTTAACAAGATAGTGGGTGTGCCTATTCAAAATTCAAAATTGCTGTTATATATTGTCCAGAAAGTATATAGCTATAAATCAATTTGTCAGCAGTAATAGGGTTATGAAAGTTAGTAATTAAACATATTTTTAAGTTTTTTGTGTTTGGACATTACTCAGTATCCAAGAAATCCGTCGCGTTTCACAAAGAAATGTACACTGTCTGTTTGAAAAATGTGGTGAATTTTCATTTTTCTCAAAAAATATTCATTTATTCATCAATATCTATTGTGTCCCCTTCAAAGTAGTCCAATTCTTCAGTTTTTATCCCCTCAATCGTCGCAAAACGCCGTCCTTTCATGGGTCTCTTCAATCTGGGGAACAGGAGAAAGTCGCAGTGTGCCAAAATCTGGTGAATACGGTGGCTGAGGCATGATTACGGTGTTATTTTGACCAAAAAATTATTAATGCAAAAAAATTGCTTTTCGAATGTACGTAGCCTGCGAACTTTGAGAATTCACCTTATTATTTGAACAGTCCATGTATATCGTAGTTTAAAACATCATAGTTGTAACGGAACCCCACCTCCAATCTCCTGTATGAAGCGAACCTCCATATCCGCCTCTGTATGTTTCAAACAATTTTTTTTTATGAAGGAGCAGGTCATTTCTCACTGCAAAGCTGTAAAAATTTACTTAGGACAAATTAATCAGTAACTTTTTAGGTTTTGGGAACAGAAAGAAGCTACTTGCCGAAACATTAGTTATTTTATGAAAGCTAACTGTATAAAATTATCCAATCATTTATTTCTTCATAGTCAAACTTCATAAATTCGACAATTTACTGACTAATTGTATGATTTATATTATGTCGAAGCCAACCTTTGCACTTCTGCCTCAGTTAATGTGGCTCCGTTACACACCTTTCCCATTGAAAAAACAGTGTGGATTCATTAATAATATAATAAAAACCACCTCCAGAACAGTGAAAGAAGTGTTTTTTTCCTCAAAGTATTCCTCCCTACCAGCGGCGGCTCGTCAGAGGAGACAAGGAAGGATTAGCCTCCCCATAAAATTTGAGGCTATTCATCGCAATACATTAAAAGATATTGACAAATAATCACGATTATTTTTTTCTAAAAATGCTTGGGTATCATTACTTCACCATTAATTTTTAATATAAATAACGGCCATTTAAATGGTTTAAAAACTAAAATAAAGTCCATAGCTCCTCATGCACTTTTTACGCATTGTCATGCCCATGCCCTAACTTTAGTATCAAGCAAAGCGTGCAACAACATAAAAATGTTCGCGCCTCCGGGGGGATTTTCTGTGTGTATATAGTCTTTATGACTTTGGCCTCTCCTGTTCTCCAACGCACGAGCCGTCACTGCTCCCTACATAAATTCACAAAAAGTTTTCTTTTACGAAACTGGCTGAAATCTGACGTTAATAAGTACTAGTCTATCCTCAAAAGCACTAGATTCATTCGTGGTCAAAACACAGTCTGACAGTTCCAATAGCTAATATCTAATAGTTGTGGTTATTTTTATTGTCAAAAATGAGTTAATATATAGAAAAATAATACAAAAATGAACACAGACAAACCCAATAACCTAAAAACGACAGATCTAGCCATTTCTGTAGTGTTTCCTCTTTCATTCACGTTAAAAGGTAAGACCTCGTTAGTCCTTGGCTCGCACAAGTTTCGACTTCTGAGGGTTGTTGTTCGTAGGGGTGCGACAGCTGGTTAACGAATAAACAGATTTTTAAACAGATTCAACCAGTACAAAAATAGTTCGTATTATATTAGTTTAGTTTAGTTTATCGTTTATATTAGTCTAAAAATTACATTAGATGATATATGAGAATAATGCGTTAATAACATTGATAAAAGATAGCTGAATAATATCAGTTTTTGATAACGGAAATTGAAATATTGGGCTAACAAAAAGTATTTCGGGCAACTTGTTTTCAAGTGAGCCAGCTTTTACTTTGCGAGATGAAAGTGATCTCATTGAGTGTGGGAGTCGATTGTAGAGCCAGGTGAAGTAATAGATCCACAATGAAGATATGTTTCATAAACTGCTGTGGACAGTTTGAATTATGGACATCAGTCCCAGAAGTTATTTTGTTATATAGATATGCAAGGGTTTTGAAAGAGGATAAACGCTTGAAATATATAAGGTTGTTTCAAAAATTTTGCCAGGCATTTGGCAATGATAGTGTTAATAAACGCAATCTTCGGCGTTGATTTGCAAAATTTCATTCCGGAGATTTTAACCTCGACGATGAGCCCCGAAGTGGTCGACCATGACGAGTATTTGAGGACCTTGGTGGAGACTGACTCATCACAAATGGTGCGTGGGATGGCAGAAGAACTGGGCGTCAGCTCCCATGCGGTTTTTAATGGTTAAAAATGTATTGGAAAAGTCAAAAAGCTCAAAAAGTGGGTACCCCACGATTTGAACGATCAACATAAATTGTCACGTTTATTGGTCGAATGAATATAATTTTTCAATTCATCACATACTTCGCTAAAATGAAACTTGTTGCAGCCAGATCCTTATCAATAATATCCACCAGCAAGCGCCAAACGTGATAGCGAGCCCGCCCCCATGCGCCCAAATTCATTTTCAATGTAACCGCCACAACAGCTCTTGCAGTGTTACAAATGCTAGGTACACTGGCGAATCGTTATTTATCCCCCAATGATGTTGGTGGTTGGCATTGTCTGAATAATTTGGGTTGTTTTTGAAAAATGTCATCGCTTAACAAAAAACCAGTCATCGAGAGTCGGGCACGTGAAATAATTTTTAAAGTGCTCAATTATTTTCAAAGCGTTAAATGTGAGTCGGACGCGTTATCAAATTTGAAAAATAAAACATCTCTCGCTACAGGTAACATTAAATAAATTTAAAAAATAACTATTTCAACACAAATCTTCATTTTGTATTAGGTATTTCAATAAGAACCACTGAAAGAGTGGTTAAAGAAGGGGAGCAATTGAATTCTGCAAATAACAGAGAAGTAAAATTTTCCACCCCAAGAAAGAAGCGGCCTAAAAGAGCACCAGTAACTGATATTCCCGAGTATGAGTGTTCCAATATTAAATATATTATTTACGACTTTCATAAGACGGAAGGGTGTCGATTACAGTAAAAAAGTTCCAACACAAAATTAATGACGTTTTGTGAATTGTGGCTTCCGAAACATCTCTTCGTAGAATTTTAAAGAAAATAGGTTTCAAATGGA